TTTCAAAACGATTGAGTGAGAAGATAGTGTAATGTGCATGGGTGGTTGATTTAAGATATGACATCACTATCACTGCATACATTAGGCATAGAGGAATTTGAGAATTTATGGATCTGGCGATATAGGGAGAGATTAGGTATTTGGGGTACAGGGATTTAGGGAGAGTTTGGAGATTTAGCTGGAGATATAGGGATCCAGGTATGATGGATTCTAGGGATTTTTGGATTTAGGGGAGTTGGTATTTAGGGATTTGGAAATCTAGGGAACTGGGAATTTAGGGATTTGAATATAGGAATTTAGGATACAGAGAATTGGAATATAGGGATTTGGGATATAGGGATTTGAGATATAGGGATTGGGGAATCTAGGGATTGGGGAATCTAGGGATTTGGGAATCTAGAGATTTGGGAATCTAGGAATTTGGAAATCTATGGATTTGGAAATTTAGAAATGTGGGATATAGAGATTTGGGGCCTAGGTATTTGGGAATCTAGGGATTTTGGGACATAGGGATATGAGTATTTCTAGAACATTGCAATTTGATCATCTAGGGATTTTGAGACATAGGAATTTGAGTATGATGGAATACTGGTATATTGAAATTTTTGCATCTAGGAATTTTGGGACATAGAGAATTTTAGTATTTAAGCATTCTGGTAATTTAGGGAATTATAGAACATAATTGCTAGTTATTTGCATAGGGAATTCTTCTAGAACAATTATATGGAGTATATAAAAATGTTCAAACATCCAATGGATCTCATGCCATAATTTCAAAATATATGTATCCAGAACAATTTAACTTCCAACAAAATGGAGCTTTTCTCTCGTAAAATATTCCGCTGAATTTGAATTTAATTCAAGGTTCTCTATAATTCACATTTTATAAATTTTACGTAAATGCAGAAAATACAGTACTTTCCAAAGATTGTACAAGGAAGACGAATGGGATTTTAAAGTCCTGTTAAATAGAAAGTCGAGGATAGATCGTTGATAAAGAAAAATCCGCAGAAGCACCACGTGGGTCAAGGCTCACGATTTTAACTGGCGATTTTAACACGCGATTTTATCACGCGAGTTCGTGAGAGAACGGTTCTACGGAAACCAGGGAAATCCATTGACCTTTCGCACGAATACACTGAAACGAAGGGCAAACACGCGAATATTCCATTAGAGGCCACGAAAGCTCTCCCCGACGCGTGATATATTGCACAGTTGCTCTATCACACGTGGTTCGTGTTACACGGCAACCATTTGTTTCAACGTTTTACGATCAACTTTTATGGCGGTCAAATTAGAAAGTGCGTTAATAGGTGTGAACTAGGGAATTGCTAGTTATAGTTGCAATCGTTAAATTTGTTTGTTGTAACAAGTTTTTATATTTTGAAACTTTGTAGATTTTCGATTTCTAAATTTTTAGATTTGAGTTATTTTTAAGGTGTTTTTTGGTAAAGCTGTTTTAAGGTAATTTTTGAAATTTTTAAAGATTTCAAATATGAACATTTTTATGATTTTTAGATTTGAAACCTAAATTTTTAGATCTGAAACTTTGGAACTTTGAAACTCTCAAATCTCTAAATTTTTATATTCACAAATTTCCAAATTTTCAAATTCCAACTTTTCCAAATTTCTATGACTCTAAATTCCCATTTCCCCAAATTCTAAAATTTCCAAATTTCTACACCCCCCAATTCCCATTTCCTCAAATTCCAAAATTCCCAATTTTCCACATCCCCAAATTCGCATTTCCCCAGATTCTAAAATTCCCAAATTTCTACACCCCCGAATTCCCATTTCTCCAAATTCTAAAATTCCCAAATTTCTACACCCCCAAATTCCCATTTCCCCAAATTCCAAAATTCCTAATTTTCCACATCCCCAAATTCCCATTTCCCCAGATTCTAAAATTCCCAATTTTCCACACCCCCGAATTCCCATTTCCCCAAATTCCAAAATTCCTAATTTTCCACATCCCCAAATTCCCATTTCCCCAGATTCTAAAATTCCCAATTTTCCACACCCCCCAATTCCCATTTCTGCAAATTCTAAAATTCCCTAATTTCTACACCCCCGAATTCCCATTTCTCCAAATTCTGAAATTCCTAAATTTCTACACCCCCGAATTCGCAAATTTCCCAATCTTCACATCCTCCAAATTCCAAATGTTCCAAACTTCCACAAGCCCAAATTTCTAACTTTCCAACCTTCCACATCCCCAAATTTAAAAATTCTCAAATATATCTAAACTCTCAAACCCAAAATTCTGCAGACCCGTCATAAAATAGTTGGACCAAACATCTCGAACAATGCGTACAGAAAACGAAGTCACATGTATACAGTCACGTACAGCAGTAAGAAAAGAGCAACAGAAGTCAGGTAATCACTGGCAAGACGAGAAACAGAGAACAACATTGTACAACGTAGTCATTGGCTCGAATTCAAAAATTTGCTCGGTGACTCAAAAGCTACGTACACCGATGGAAAACGGCTAAATTTAACCGCTTAACGTCGTGTAAATAGGCGAGTTACCCTTCGAAAAATGGCTACCGTTCTTCGCGTAATCCATTATGGAGCCACGTGATTGCGATTTGCACGAGTTCGATGATTCCCGCTGAGCAAATAATCATATTCTCAAAAATTATGGTGTTTACTTGTTATAATATTCCAATGCTGTAATACTGTTTCAATTTATGCCTTGTTAGCATTATTTAACTCTTTATAAATTTCATAAAATCAAAATGTCAAAGTTATTTCTAAAAACTTTTGAACTATTAATTCCTTCATGATAACATTTTTGTAGTCCAGTACGATTCTTATGATTGTAAATCTGTCATTAAATCTGTGAATTTTTTAAGTTGACGTTGGTTGACTAAGTCTCAAATTGTAAGTTGATTTTCGACATTCGACATCTTATGTTCACCTAATCTTAAAGTTTACCTAAACTTGTGAACAAGTTATAAAATAATCATCGTTGACATTAGTGACTTACTACTCCTGTTCCAACTTTGATACTAAAATTTGTAGAGTGCATCAAATAGCACACATTTTATTTGGACACCCTACATATTCTATTGTTCGAGACATTCATTAGCAACGTGATCAATGAAGAATTTAATCAAGGTTTTTTAAAAATCAAACAATGAAAGATATGGTGCATCTTCTATCGATTAAAAGTTTCTTGAACTTTATTCTGCGGTATCAATTAATTGTTACTCATTATCGATAAATTCAATAGCTTATCTGTTTGTCGAGATAAATCGTATCGACTGATTTCTATTGCAGTACAAAATGTAATTCTAAAAAAGTATTTTTATCGGTGTGATTAGTGCTTGATAAAGGAAACCGGATGTTACTATTTTTAACGTGTTGATTGGCATGATAAAATTGTTCATATATGGCGAGACACTAAAGTTACATTTATTTAAGATATCAACTTACAGATTTGAATGTTTAATTTGCAATTTTAGAATAGTAATTATTAAAGACAGTTATGTTATTTAAAATTGTATTTATAGTTTTTGTACTACTTCTGTCATTTTTAGACAGAGAAAATGTACGCAACCTGACACCACATTATATAAAAATATTATGTATGCATGTATCACATATGAAAATAAAATTATGCAATAAAATAATTAAAGACTAAATATGATGCATTAAAAATATATGATGCACGCGAGAAAAGAACTAAAATATAAAAAATGTGAAAAATATAAAAAAAAAGTATAACTATAAGTGAAAATAATTTATAAGGAAAATTTGGAAATAAGCAGCGTAACTATTCGAACACAATAAACTTGGACTACAATCAACGCGTTAACTACACATGGCACGACGTAACGGTTAGCAGAAAGCTTTCGATTCTTCGAAGATTGAAAACAACGAGATCGAAGAAAAGATGTTTATCCCTGGATCGCGTGAGAATCCAATTCAAACACGAGAGATCATCGGCAAGAGAAGCGATCGTGTCAACGACCGAAGCTTCTTAGAATGTTTCGTGCCAAACTATTCTAACCGAGTCGAGTTTAGGCTGCACCCAAAGTAACGGCTTCTCTTTCAGATCCTTTTGTTAATTAAAACGATACATCGATATCTATTCTTTCACTAATACTTTGTGATAAAACAAAGAAAAGCATTTTAATAGAATGGAACCAAAGTATAACATCTTCATGAATCATACAAATTTAAGATTTTCATCAATGATCAAAATTTAACATTTTTAGCCGTGATCGAAATTTAACATTTTCATCCATGATCGAAATTTAACATTTTCATCCATGATTAAAATTTAACATTTTTATCAATGACCAAAGTGTAACATTTTCATCCCTGATCAAAATTTTAACATTTTCATCCATGACTGAAGTACAACATTTTTATCAATGACTAAAGTATAACATTTTCTTCAATGACTAAAGTATAACATTTTTATCAATGACCAAAGTATAACATTTTCCTCAATGATCAAAGTATAACATTTTCTTCAATGACTAAAGTATAACATTTTCCTCAATGATCAAAGTATAACATTTTCTTCAATGACTAAAGTATAACATTTTCCTCAATGACTAAAGTATAACATTTTCCTCAATGACTAAAGTATAACATTTTCCTCAATGACTAAAGTATAACATTTTCCTCAATGACTAAAGTATAACATTTTCCTCAATGACTAAAGTATAACATTTTCCTCAATGACTAAAGTATAACATTTTCCTCAATGACTAAAGTATAACATTTTCCTCAATGACTAAAGTATAACATTTTCCTCAATGACTAAAGTATAACATTTTCCTCAATGACTAAAGTATAACATTTTCCTCAATGACTAAAGTATAACATTTTCCTCAATAACTAAAGTATAACATTTTTATCAATGACCAAAGTATAAAATTTTCCTCAATGATCAACGTATAACATTTTTCCTCAATGACCATAGTAAAACATTCGCAGACTGGTCATCTGACAGCTAAAACAAGAAATAAATAGTGAAGACTCACCCTTGCCGCGGCGACGCTCTTCTCAGCCGAGACGCCATCAAGTTCGACGCGTGCCCTGGCCGCCGTCGCGGCGCTCTGTTCCTTGTAGGATACGTCACCAGCTTGTAAAGCTCTCATCTCGGCGCTATTTGCAGTCGCCTTTTCGGCGCTGAAACCGTCTGTGACAACCTGAAATTTTAAGAAACCAACACTTTTATCGCTGCACACACTATTGTTCAAAAATGTTTCACAAAATATTGCCTACTAAATTGATTACTGAAAAGTGTGTTCATTGCTTCACGCGAATTTTTAACGAGAACTATTTTATTTAATTAGAGGGATAAATTGGTTAGAGCAATCGAATGTCAGGTCAAAAAATAAAGGAAGATTTTTTCGTAGAGCATCTTGTGAAGCAAGATATCTGTAAATATTATTTCAAAGGGTAAGATCATTTTCTGGAAAGTGAAACATTGACCTTGCCCGACGTAGCTGAGAATTTTTAACGTGGTCGTGACGGAAGTGAAGTTAAAGATAGAAGGCGAAAGGAACAGAGATCAGCTGTAGAGAGAACAGAATGTGACATTCAACGTAAAAATAAACGACACGAAAATGCTTCTCAACGCGTGCGATACTATTCCCTCGGTAATTATCCGTAGGAAATCCATGACCTAACCGCTGACAGAGAAAATGACAGGGAAAGTTCATTTCAAATCAACATAGATTCTTAAGTTAGATATACACGCAACTTCTGAACCTGCAGCACGTTTTTAGCTTTTAAAAATCTGAAGTAATAATAGGACAATTATTTCAGTATCTCTATCGTAAAAGGGAGAATTTATTGTATGTTTCAATTTGAAGTCCATATATTGCATCCATATTATTTGCATAGACAAGGATCATTGAATACAAATTTTAACTTTATCGTTAATTAATACAAAATTAACTATTCATTACAATATTAAAAAAATAAATACTAGGTTAATAGAAAAAATATTTGGGGATCCGTCTCCATAACTACGTCACTGCTTGGCCAGAAGATAGATTCAAAGTCCTTGACCTAGACTACCAAAGGAAACCGCACCTCCGGGCCAAACACGTTAGTGTCGCCAAACGTTCGCGAACTCCACGCGACATCGATTATTTCACGCGCAATTTCGACTAGGAAGCTGGTCGATTCTAAAACGGTAGCCTCTCGCTCCCAATTAAGAAACTACTGCCACTTTGGTCACGAATTACAACATCCTGACAACTACGTACATAACACGTTCGGTACCAGAGCTCATGCAATTAATCTTCAAAGATAAAATACATATTTACATCATTGTGCACTGCATGAAGTTACAAAGTAAAACAAAATCTCTTCAAGTAAACACGTGGCGTAAAGTCGTGACTCTGGTACCTAACGTGCTTGTGGTACTATGAAATCCTTCTTCTTTAAATAACCAAACTGTCAATAGTCCAAACCTCGTTATTAATCCTAGAAGATCAAGATTGCTCTTTAAAAGGTAAATTTTGTAGGAAATTTAGGTTAAAGATTATAAGTTACCGAAGATCTTTCAACCTTACCTTCGTTTTGGAGGCGCTGGTCATTTTCTTCTGCTCGAACTTCATCGTCTCCTGTCCAGCAGGTAAATTCGTCATGTTCGAAATGTTCGACATACTGATCGGTGGGCTCATGTTGTGAAGATTGTTGAGCGAATTCAATGTGGTGAGCTGCGAGGGTGATCCACCCGGCAGTGTGACAGCTCCCGTGACAGGGGGCGGCGTGTCTGGATCTGGAAACGTCACCAACGGCTCCGTCAAATCGCCTTCCTCGGCTCCGTTTCCGTCCCTGCAACAAAAACCATCCGGCGTTAAAAATCGACGAGGTGCACGGTGTTTATGCGTCGCGACCAAGCCGCGCTAGCAACTTTGAAAATAATCGCGGCTAAAACGGGAAGCACTCGACTATAAATACGTCTTGGACGTGACTTTCGTGATTATACTGCCAGAGATCCGATCTAACCACTCGACATTCGATTCATCGCGTGATTCTAACTCGGACAAACCTTGAACCGAACTATCAACCACAGCGAGTGGTAGAATGGATCGGAAGTTCAATCTTGGACTTTGGAAATGAGAGGTGGTTGTGATCTCTTTTTCGCTAACCATTTTTGGTCTGAGGATGTGAAGAATCACAGTTAATCGTAGAGTTACAGTTGTCTTTTTTTTTTAAATTTCTCTACACTTTCACATGTTCCATTTCTCAAATATTTAGGTTGTTAATGTCTTGCAAATGACAACTTGTACGCAAATTTGAATCACAGCAAGATTTACGGACTATGAATAAAAAACTTTGCAAACGTCAAAAAAGTGGGTGATACTTCACAAAATTATACACTGATAAGTTGGAGCAAATGTGGATTCTAAAGTGACTAGGTTTAGATGAATCTTGATGAAGTTTTAAGAAATTAGATGATTAAGGGATAATTGATGATGATGAAAGTTTTTGACCCACCTGTCTACGAGGTTCTCCATACTGCTGCGTAATCGTTGCGAGAAGTTAGTCGATATGTTATTCTTCATTTCAGAAATGCCACGTTGAAGTTCCCTTAGGTCGCTCTTCATGGAGCTAGCTTTCATCTCACTCGACGAGGACGAGGTAAGAATCCTCTGTGAGGATTTGGCTACCCTGCTCGAGCTACTGCTGCTCTGGCTCTGGTTCGTCGTCAGCATCTGCAGAGTCAAAAGCCGTTTACGTTCTATTTAAAATCCACGTGTGGTGAGTCACTTTCGCCTATTCGTCTGTGTCTTCACCCTCCTCTCTTCGCGTTCGCCACCCACCCCGTGCGCCCTTCTTTTTCACGCGAATCCTCGCATAATCATTTTTCCCGTGATTCTCGGATTCTCTTTACCCTTTGTCGAACTTATCTCCAGTTTTTTTTAGATCTTCTTTTTCGGAGAATTTGGACGCTTGGGTTGTTGACGTGGTTTCAGAAAATTTGACAATTTGGGATTTGGATTATGGAGAATTAGGGATTTGAGGATATGGAAGTTTGGGAACTTGAGAATTTATAAATGTAGAAATTTGAGAACTCAAGAATTTGTAAATTTGGGATGTAGGAATTTGTAAATTTAGAAATTTTAACATTTGTGCATGTGGAAGTCTGTGAATTTGGCAATGTGAAAATACAGAAATCTGGAACCTAAGTTTCTAACATATGATATATAACGTATCGACACAACAAAGAACCCTGTACCACTATTGAAACTGACCATCATATCCCGCTAATGAAGATAAGATTGCACCTATCTCTCGAAATGACAAACAATCAAAATTCATGTTTCTGTCTTCAGAAAACAAACAGTTTGATAGAAAGCCAACGAGTGGGATCGCTCAAACTAGACGGAAATTAAGAAGACAATGTCCCCACGCATAACAACGTAATACGGCGCTTCCGAGGAAACCTAAGAAACTCGAGAAAAAGCTCTTCCAAAAATATCAAGATGAAAACTGTGTGGTCGTCGTCTGGCATACTGGATCCAATTAATTCTCGGCTTAAGGAACCCCAATTGCGTTAGGTGCTGCTGGTAAACATCCAAACGAGAAACGACCGATATATTGCGATAGATCGGGGAGAGGCAACGTTCTTGAACAACGGGGAAACACTTCGATGAGGAATAACCTTGAGGCGACTGGTCTCAAGGTTCCCGGACCTGGAACTCTGCTGGGTCGAGGAAAAAAATTTCACGTGGGCGACACATTGCGTAAAGTCGCCAGTGCGCGGAGCAACTTGTAATTATTCAATTATCTCCAGCTGGATAACGAGTTTCGATCGAATTGCGTTGTTGACTCTATTAAGTTGTGCTTTGAATTAGAAACAGATTTCAGCTTCGATGACGCACTGGATGTGTCTTGTGTTGTAGAAGATTGTAATTATATTCATTGGATCAACGTTTAATTTATTGGGCACAGTGGACGACGCACCTGGTGCGTCTTATGGTTATTCAATTTATGACGCACATGGTGTGTCTTGTGTTAATTCAACTTGTGACGCACCTTATGTGTCTTATGCTAATCCAACTTATAACGCACCTGTTGTGTCTTGTGCTAATCCAACTATGACGCACCTGATGTGTCTTATGCTAATCAACGTGTGACACACCTGGTGCGTCTTATCTTTAACCACCTATGACGCACCTGATGCGTCTTATCCTTAACCAACTATGACGTACCTGATGTATCTTGTGCTAATCCAACTTGTGACACACCTGGTGCGTCCTATATAACTTATGACGCACCTGATGCGTCCCACAAGAAAACTATTCAGTAAAATAATGAAAACAATTTTGAAGGAGTTGAAGTAAAGTTGTCAAACAGGAAATCTGTTGAATATTTATAACTTTTTCTATATTTTTTGTTGGAGGAAATACTGAGTTTATAAAGTATCGATTAGTCGAACGAGATTGAACGACATGAAAATCAACGAAAGACAGCTCGATGAATAAATGAAGATAGAACTTAACGATGATAAGGATATATCAGTGGGCGGCAATGAAAACACGTGAACTCTGTATCATTGCATAATCGGTTGGCTCAGACAACAGATCACGTTCCAAGATCTCCGGATCGAAATCTTCTGGATTTTAAATTCAGTTTCATCGCGTCGTAACCTGTAATCGTAACTCGGGGAATAAAATCCGGCATGGAACGGGTAAACCAAGCTGGTTAGAGTTCAACGTTTGTAGGATCTGCCAAGAAAACTTTGATGCCACGATTATGCATACAATAAGTATAGATCGTTCTATTTCGATGGAATTGTGCTCGAAACGAGCGCAAGTATAAATAGAGCAAGTACGGATAATTCTGTTAACGAGAGATTTATAACGATAAGAAATACCAGAGCAGATTAAAGATTTTAATCTTAAAGAAAATTTGAAATATTATTTTGCAAATATCTTGACCATTGTTCTGGCAATTTTTATTGTTGTTACCAGAGATTGTTGTTACCATCTGTTAAGTAACAGATCCATTTTTAATCCAATTACTTATAAAAGACGTATCATCAGATTCGCAGAACCGAGACTCTTTTGTCATCGCTGCTAAATTGTGATACGGATTTCCTAGAACTTTTGATCGAATACGATTTCCATTCTTTTTTTCCCACATCGTAAATTCGACCACGTGGACGAAAACATGACTGATGATTTAATTTTGGAGATTCTCTCAAAACGATTGCGGCAATTGAAACGGGGTGAATAATTCGAAATTTCCGTGTTCAAGATATCCTCGTGGGCGGAATAACTATAGATTACTCCAAATTAAAGGTCAAATGGCGGTATCTTTAAATAGAAAGTTCGATGGCAACTATCTGCTTAATCTTTCTTGAGAGTCGAATTAGTGATCACGTTTTGGAGTAGATCCCGTGAAAATGATTTTAGAGGGTAATCTTTACTTTTGGCACTGCAGTAATCATTGGCACACTCGACTTGATAAAGCTATACAATTACATGAATACTATTGTACAAATATATATTTATTTTTTAATTTGAACTTTTGAATTTAAGCATTTCTTTAATTCTCTCCAATTTATAAATTAATAGAAACGAAGTGATTTTTGTCATTTGTTGAAAGTTTCATATTTTGTTAAATTAATATTAATATTATATATTTAATATTTAATATTGATATTTAATGTTGATATTTAATATTAATATTTAATATTAATATTTAATATTGATATTTAACATTGATATTTAAAATTGATATTTAACATTGATATTTAACATTGATATTTAACATTGATATTTAACATTGATATTTAACGTTGATATATAACATTGATATTTAACATTGATATATAACATTGTTATTTAACATTGATATATAACATTGTTATTTAACATTGATATATAACATTGATATTTAATATTGATATTTAATATTAATTTTTAATATTGATATTTAATATTAATATTTAATATTGATATTTAATATTAATATTTAATATTAATATTTAATATTAATATTTAATATTAATATTTAATATTAATATTTAATATTAATATTTAATATTAATATTTAATATTAATATTTAATATTAATATTTAATATTAATATTTAATATTAATATTTAATATTAATATTTAATATTAATATTTAATATTAATATTTAATATTGATATTTAACATTGATATTTAAAATTGATATTTAACATTGATATTTAACATTGATATTTAACATTGATATTTAACATTGATATTTAACGTTGATATATAACATTGATATTTAACATTGATATATAACATTGTTATTTAACATTGATATATAACATTGATATTTAATATTGATATTTAATATTGATATTTAATATTGATATTTAATATTAATATTTAATATTGTAGCGTTATTTGTACACAGAGTCTTAGCTTTTATAATTGTACAATTCCACGTGATCTTAAAATTTACCTGTGACGAGGAAGTGACCTGAGGGTGGTGGCTGACATGGCTCCTGCCTGTCACCAGATTGTTTTTCTTCTGGAAGTTCTCCATGACAGTGTGCATGTCACCGTTGTCCCCTCCCTCCACTGGGAACTCGGACATCTGCAAAACACAAGGTGAAATAATTATTGAAACGTGCTCGTTAACTTTCAAAACAGGTTTCAGCGACCTTTGACATCATAACATTTTAATCGGAAACGAACGTTTTAGGTAAACTTTCCGTGGTGTTACGCGAAGCGTCATTTTTATGATCACGTGCTGCAGTCCGTTCGCGCCCCCGCGGTTCGGTCAAAATAAAATACATATTCCGAAGTAAAAAGCACTCTCTTCCTTTGAATGCAAACAAGTACGAAGACTAAACTAAAACGTGAACGCTGTTTATCTGGTTTTAACAAAGCGACCGGTAATGCGCAACGCATCGAGAAAAATACATTGTAGAGATGGCGGAGAGGAGTGGATCAACGGAACTGTCAAGAAACGAAGGAAAAATAATCCGATTGACATACAGAACCGTGAAAAAGTACACGGTACGCCTCGAACTTCTCGGAAAAGAGAAAAAGAAAAAATGATACGAGAGATACGCGGGTGTCTCGCAACACGTATGTTACGTAAACGAAACCTTGTGGTCAACGAAACCGAAGGAAACACGTCCACATACGCTACGTTCACTCGTGTCAACACGACCGTTGAGAGAAGTAAAAAACGATTACGCTAATGTAAATATTACTAGATGAATTGCACAGGTAAAGGAGAATTATATACCCGAGAGAACTGTAGCCTTTTTTAGTATAGAATCATTCTAAATTCTAAATTTAAACAATTTCTAAACTCGTACATCTTACAAGTCTTCAGACTGTCATTTTCAAACTAGCAAATTTGAAAAAGGAGCGATCTGAACGGCGCCATTTTTCCCCCCACGCCGCCATTTTCCCCAGGAACATGCCCGCGAGTTTGGTGGAATGTATACAATGAAACATGGTATTTAAAGAACAAGAAATACGAACCATTTGACAGTTGAACCGACGGCACACTTCCTCTTCCAACCTACGAGATTTATCTGCAATTCACCGCTCCCACCATAGTTCTTATCGTTTTGAGAACCTCGACCGAACTCTCGCACCGTCGCCCTCTCGGAGCATCCCGTTGCGATTATCGTATCTCGACGGACACTGGCGAATCACACGCACGATTTCACGTATCATCGTCGATCGACGCTTTCGGTCGCGCTCTCGATCGTCTGTTCATCGCAACTGTCGGAACAATTATCGTGGCTCGGAAAATGATCAAACACTGTTACGCGAAAGTTAGCGCGGATAACCTCTATCGGTTGGCACAAAGGACACGCGGTTAGCCGGCTGTCACCGCGATGCGCACCGTACGGCGGTCAGAGTCGAACTGAAGACCAGTGACGCACCGATTGCGCGTGAGCCGCGATCCCAGCGACACTCGCGGCGACCCCGCGAACTTTTGAATTCCGCATAGCTCGTACGCACGTGAGAAAAGCCTCGAATTAAGAACGAAAACCAGGTCGTACGTCGGAATTCTAGGAAAAAGACTAGCAACCACGAAACGCAACTGATTAACGAACGTTGTTCGATCGTTTGCGTCATTAGAAACGGTTCGATCGATCGTAATTCGTTGCGATCTTTAGCATTTATCGCGACGATGAAAACCGCCTGAAGATGGCCCTGTTGCAACTCTTTTTGACGCGCTCATTACTTACAATGGAGATGACTGATGATCGAAATTATAAGCTCTCTTCATTTTTAGATAGTCATTCTTATGAATACTATTAGTTTTTTTTTTCTTTTATAGATGCTATAGAAACGATACTGATTTTTATATGTATAATGAAGTATGATTATTAATGAATTCATTTGTGAAGCACCATTTATTTTTTGTAATTAATTATGATAGACATTGATTTTCATAAGTGATTCGATTGCTCATGCTCTTAACACCTGATTGCTTCATTGCAATGATATTTTGATATTTTTGTAATTCATTATGATAGATATTGCTTTTTATAAGCAATTCGATTGCTTATGCTCTTAACACCCGATTGCTCCATTGCAATGATATTTGGATCCAGAAAAGCTGTCGGTTGAAATTTGAATGTCGTGATTTTCGAGACAAGCTTGCTAAACAAAAATAATCCGTATATCATCATTTTAATGAAGATAAGAGAGCAAACGTGATTATACAATTTCTTTGTTTCTGATTAGTCATACTTGCAATTGGAGTTTCCAAGATGCACTGAAGCTTCCCAGATGAGTAAAAAAAAATTCCACCTATCATCAAAGAGAAGTAATGTTATTCCTAAGGATGAAAATCGAATTCTTTTCCCACCGAAAGATATCGTCCCTTTCATCGAAAGCGACACTCCGAAATCTGGTCCCGTAACTCATCTTCGCGTCGAAGAAAAAACGAGCAAGCACAGCTGGTAGACGGAAAAGAGGGACACAAAAGCTGGAATGCGGTCTAACGAGGCTAACCTAAGGAAACTGGAGGAGTCGCGACGCCGAACGTCTTGGAATTTCGGCGAAAGTATACCGGGTGTCCTCGAGATGAAAAATCGACGTCTCTCCCTCAGATACGTACTCGAAGGAGAGGCCCCCGAAGCGAAAAGGAAGCGAAGCGAAGAAAGAACGAGGGCTCGATAAAGAAGGGCATTCAAAAAAGAGCAATAGATAAGGTAGGTGCGGCAGGCCGCCTTGATGGGTCAGCGACCAAATAATATCCAGACTTTCTTTCCATCTGGTGGGACAATGAACACAACCATGCTTTGGCGCCACTCGATTTATGAACTCATAAATGGCGCCGTAAACGCCGTTACCATTTACAAACCGATCCAGACGATTGATTTTCCTTCACGATTAGATTTCAACTCTGATGACCAAAGGTCGCCTGCAGCATAATAATCACTTTGATGACTTTCACAGGACGTGCGTCGTCGAAGCTACTCGAGCGTTAGGACGTCTGGAAAATCTCGGGTGTCTTTCTTTTTCGTGACCTCGAACGATTAATATGTAATGGAGAGAATTTTTATATTCTTCCGCGTATGTTGGAACATGCAAGAGGCTATATCCGAGAGCATTGGCAGACAGCTGTAGGCGTGTTGGCTCTCGCGCCAGACACAAAGAGGCGATTCGGAGACGTCTCCTCGTGACACTGTTGTTGTATCCTGCCGAGTGTATGTGCATACGAAAACCGTGCACGATCCTTGAAGATGTTGCTTAAACCTTGATTTCGAGCTGTAACGAGCTCGGGAACTGTGTTATCTGTTGCGAGGGCGAGAACAAAATTTGTCATCTCTTTCGAGAAGTGTTCATAGGATTCGATTGACGGAATCTTAATAAGTCTGGGTTGTAAATCGCAGAGATTTCTGGTATTTGACTGAAACGATACTTTGCATTCGCAGATATTTATCTCAGAATTTATGCAACAATATTTTATGAATCTCGTCAAATTTACTAGGATGATATTCCACGAATTCCAGAATTAAACCGACAGTTTGTAAGTTTCGCAAATTTTATTGGAACGATATTTCATCGAGATGTCACACTTTATTGTCACAATGGTCCATGAACTTCGTTTGAATGATATTCCTTTGAACTTCGCGCAAGAATCAAAGAGGTTAAGAAGGGAATTTCTAATATATCTGTTAATCCGTATTATCGTGAACATATCAGATAAGTCTATTTTTAAACCGAAGGTGTAGTTTCGAACAAGCACTTATCGAATTCCAAACAAAGCAAAGCGATTGGAGGATTTTTCAGAGGAGGATTTACGGCGGTAATTTCCCGCGGCGTGAAAAAAAGACGTAAAAGACGCAAATTTCTCACGAAATCCGCGGATGTCCGACGTTGGTAATTGTTTGCGATCGGCTGTAAGGTGTGTGTGACACGGTCGCGTCCGTTCAAACAAAGGAGTTCTCTGTGAGTTTCAAAGGAAACACGTTCCTCCGGTTGTACGCGAGCATAAAGGAGAAGAGCCCTCGCCTAACGGAGAGCAGGAATTCCCCTTGACGACTCGTCGCGTCGTGGCATTGAAACGCGACAGATAAGCCTTCAGGCCGGAGGAATTTCACGCAGCGAGTTAAACGAATGGCCGTAACTTTGATAACGGAGCTTTGTGTACGCTTAAAAAGCTCTGAGAACGTTGATCGATATTGAAAATCGATGGAAAGGCAATGGCGAAGTTAATGAACTATTCAACATTTGAGTAATATTTTCGGGTACCATTTAAATTTAGTCATTTTCATTATAGCAGTTACTGGGGATAAAGGGGTGTGGCGTAGGGAAATAGAGACAGGGGTATCTAGGGACAAGCTGATGTGACAGTGACATTTAGGATCCCATGGGGATCCAGAGATGTAGTATCTAGGTATTTTTGGGAACAATTATAAATAAATTCGCAGTCTACGTATTTATGGGTTCAGAGAATATTTCAATCTAGGGATATTTCAGAGTTAGTGAAATTTGAGGACTAGCAGAAAGAATTTGAATCTGGGGATATTTTACCTCTACCGAAAATGAGTTTGAGATCCAAAAATATTTCAGATCTAAAGATATTTGGAATTTAGGGAAATTATTGATTCAAGGATATTTTGGAAAGAATTGTAACTATTAAACTTGGGATCTAGGGATATTTTGGAAGTAAGGGCGTTGACATTATTATCTAGGTATATTAAACTTGAGCTCTAGGGATATCTCACGTTTAGGAATATTTTCAAAGTAAGAATATTGATATTATTGTCTAGGTATATTAAACTTGATCTCCAGGGATATTTCACGTCTTTTCAGAAGTATATTAACATTGTTGGCCTAGGGATATTTAAACTTGAGATCTAGGGATATTTTGGAAATAAGAGCGTTGACATTATTATCTAGGTATATTAAACTTGAGCTCTAGGGATATCTCACGTCTAGGAATATTTTCAAAGTAAAAATATTGATATTATTGTCTAGGTATATTAAACTTGATCTCCAAGGACATTTCACGTCTAGGAATATTTAAGAAGTATATTAACATTGTTGGCCTAGGGATATTTTTAAACTAGAAACATTAAATATAGAAATATTTGAAACCCACAGTAATTTAAAATATAAACAAATGTTAAGTGTATGAATTCTGTAATATTTGAAATTTAAAAATATCAGGAACTGTGCATGAAATCTGGGGAAATTCGAAATGCAGGATGTTCGAACGAATATTGATAACACGGCAAACATGTTCGCTTCAAAGAAAACCAGATAATCCGCACTGTGCCCGATCTTGTTCGATAACTGATAATCCTTATCGTAAGTGATATCGTTAAGACGATACGAGGACGCAAAAATATCTGGCTATGATGTAACTTGGGAACATTCGATGAACGTTATATTAGTAAACACTGGGATAATTAATAAGGTTAGCTATCTCTAACGAAGTACATTTCTTAGTTATTTTAATTAATTGCTTCTTTTATCTATGGAAGAACCGTGTAACTTTCGTAATTCTTTTGGTATATTGCTGGAAGGTTTAGATAATCGATACAATCACAGAGGCTCAATGAAACCTTTAGAAGACCGGTTTGTAGAACTTTCACGTAGGTTCGATACTTTGGACCTCCGCGTACCAAAATTGACCCGACCTCAATCATATAGCATTCACTAAGATATCTTCTGTTCAATAATATTCCATCACATACTCTTTCTTTATTTTATGTCAATTCTAAGATATTCTACGTCCAGCAATATTTTGGAAGTAACGATGTTAATATTATTATCTAAGTATATTAAACTTGGACTTTAGAGATATTTCACTTAATTTTCCTCATACTTTACTTCATTTTCATTTTATGAATTTGAAATTCTTCTCCCGAAAGTACAAATTGTATTCAATTACTCGTACGTTTAATTTTAATACGCCTTCGGATTTTGTAAATCGGTTTGAGTCACAATCTCGAAGATTAAAAAATTGATCCCATTCGATCATAAAAGAAAATCTGCCGATTCCGCGTGATTCACGATAAATGAATTAAACGAGAATAATATTGCAGCGCGTTAATTGTCTCGATTAAACGTTCTATTTATTGCAAAGTCGAGAAATAATCGGCTGTTGCATGCTCCGTTTATTTCATCGCGTCCGTCAGACCATAAAGCAACGATGTTACAGCTGTGTTTTGACGTTCGCACTGACTTTTTCGAAAGTCTTATTATATCGAGTTTATGGCGTTCGGCCAACGGATTCGATGCGTTCTCGACTTATGTAAGAGGAATGCGGCGATTAAGTCTCATTAAGCGGTGCGTTGCGAATCGATGTCGATTGTTTGGCAACAGCCTCGGCTATTGTGAGGGGGAATCGAAGGCTGGCTAAATTAATTAAGCGTACGAATTACCGGCTGCAAGGTCGTTCAGTTAACGATCGATCGACTTTACATCGTAAAGATATTTTTTCGACGTTGGTCAATCAAAAATCGCGGAAAATCGCAACCTTCGAGATAACCGAGGAATTTTTATTAGCGACATAAATCGTCATTTGCTAACTTGTTTGGCGAATTGACGATTTTATTTTCCATCGTAACGATTTTGATGGTTAAATACGTAGAAAGTATGCAACCTTGAGAATAACATAGCCGAAGAATTTCTACTGGCCGCATAAATTACAAAGTATTTACAAATTTGTTCAGAAAACGAGATTCGTTGGACTCCATTTTTCATCGTGAAAGTGCACCTGATTCATGATTAATGATAACACTATAGAAACTCGATGCAACTTATCAAAGATAGTTAAGAAATCTGTAATAAATTCTACCGTGTTGTTCAGTGTAATAATGTATCGATAAAAATTTTTCTCAAAAAAAAGAAGTAAAGAAAAAATATTCAAGTTGATCTTATTTCTCGCATGTAGTTCGTAGAACGATAATTTAACAACATCGAGACACGTACCGTGAACCATTCGTATCAAATAAATTTGCCTGTTTCAATCATCTCGTCCCTCGAATTATCCATTTGTTCCACTCGATCGCTCGAATTGCGCAAGTAGGTAGCAAGTCCCGTATGTTATTCGATAATTTCCGAGCAAGAGAAGGTACGAGAAAGCCGGGGAAGAAGAGTAGCAACGATTCTGAGAAGCACCGAGTCGGTAGCCAAAGAAACGGCACGAGACGAATCGCTACCGAGAAGAGGTCTGTTAACCCGTTTGAGAACGCTCGAACACGATTTGCGTCACCGTGTCGGAATAGAGAAGCGGAATGCGTACGCTCAAGTGCCGCGAAAGGTGCTTCGAGCAACTTCGTTAGAGGAATTGTTGCTTCGTACGATTCTTCTTCGAGTGGGCCTGAAATAACACTTAAAATTGTTGCGTTGCTTCACGGATCTATTAGCTTCGTGCGACGGTGAAAAAGGATCAGCAGATGTCATCGAAGTTTGAACGTCGGCGAAAGTTTTCAAATTCCCGCCAGATTTCTCGACTTCCGAGTTCAACTTTCGAAGCAAATCTTGGGAATTTCCTGAATTTTGCAAAGCTCGAATTTTCAAATTCTCAATGTTCCTCAAACTTTCGAAGTTCACTGAGATTTAAATCTTATTATTTCGTACATTTCATACATTACTGAATTTCAACAATTTTTACATATGTAAGTCCTCCAATTCTCAAGTCAATATATTATCAATTTTCCAAATTTCCCAGGTTTCTCAAATTCCAAGAACTTGTTAAATTCTCAAGCTCGCATTTCTAAGTTGTCAAATTCCCTAGATTTTTTAACATTATTCCGATGTTTTTAAATTACCAAGATTGTTAAAAACACAGTTTTTCATGATTCCCCTAACTTTAAAAATTCCCAAGAATTTCAAATTACCCCGAATTCTAATATATTCACAAGACTTCAAAACTTCCCAAATTTCAAAAATTTCTCAGATTTTCACAATCCCTAAATTCCCAAAATTCCCTAAATTTTCCTAAATTCCTCGAATTCTCAAATTTCCCTAGATTTTCCTAAATTACATAAATTCTGAGAAATTCCCTAGATTATAAATATCCCAAAAATTTCCTAGGTTCCGGAAATACCCCAGAGTTTCAAATCGTTGAATCCCCAGATTCTGAAATTCTGAAATTCTCTAGATTTTGCAATTTCCCCAAATGCACGATCTTTATTCTCCGCAACAACGAACCTTATAGCAATCGATTACAGCATCGGTTTCAAGATCACCAGATGACCCAATTCATTCACCTTCGAATCACCTGTCGCGTCCAGCGTTTCGCTATTCGGTCGGCAATCGCGTCCAAAGAGAGCCAGTGGTCGTCACAACAGTAAACAACGATTACTCACTCGACAAAGTTAGAAAAGCAGCGTTACTCTGTCCGATGCACGCGTGTACGCTGTTGTCAGCGTGCGTGTATGTGCGCGTACACGTACGCCCTGTTAACATTGATTCCCAGACAGCGAGGGGAAGCAGATAGCTCGCGAATCAGCGTCGTCGCGTGCTCGTGGTAGACGCGCGTCCGTGCAACGCGACATCGCGTGCACTTTTAGCACGATGATGTCACGACGTTTGTAACGGATCGTGACGCAGCTTTGATTGTCCGATAGATGTTACATGCGCGAATCTCGCTGTTGTGACCGAAACGGTGACGCATACGGTGACGTTGCGATTAGACGGGGCATCGCTGCTTGAAGAGCAGCGGCTCTCATTCGATCGTTTACTTTTAGATTTCGGTCTAGACGTTGCCTATTTACAGCCGTTCGCGAAATAAACAGCTACGGACGAAAACACCGGGAGGCGAGAACCAAATATTTGTTCAAAAACCAAGTCTGTGTTTGCTTGCGAGTTGTTTCAGAAATACTTATTTCGTCGTTTATAGGGAACGATCCTTTACCCTTTGTATCGGATAAATAATGCACCTGTACCGAACATTGTGTTTAAGAATATTTATCTGTTGTATTTTGAAAGTTTTGAGTTCATGAACCTTCAAGTTTGCTCGGTTTCAAATTTGCAAGTTTAGAAAATATGAGAAGTTTTCAAAATAAGCAGTGATCGAATGCAGAAATGTTATTATTCATGAAAGCACCGGTTGTTATACGACAACATGAATTAACTGATAGCGATTCAGATACGGTGCAGTAAAGATGACTGTAGCAGTGAACGAACGCGACCAAGTAAAGCTCGAGTTTCCGTAAAAATAAGACAGAGATCGGTGAGTCACATGACCGACAAGCAGAGATTAATTTGTAAAATTTTGAATTCCCGCTGACACCTACTCAAATAGAGTATGATGTCACGTTCGGTGTCATCGCGAAAATATGCGTAATTACGCGAACGCACCAATGTATCTTTTACGATCTCGATAACGAGACAAACACTTGTTTCGCTCTTGCAGATGCATCGAAAACAATTCGAAATCGAAGACCGTGAACTTCCTATGTCAGACCGTTTTACATACGTCTACAGAGAAATTAACGAATTACTTACGGATTTCAGAAAGGCGTCCCTGCCTCTGTGTAGCATGCTACTCTTCGTTTTGTTGCTTCCATGCTTGTGCAGCATGTTCAGACCTCTGTCGACGCTCATTCATAAATCTTTATCGATTCACACCAATCACGGGTAACAATTTGATCGATGACCGATCGATAACACTGCTTTCTGACTCCAAATATCCAAATGAGACTCAATATCACAAAATCATTGGGCACTGTAATTTTTGTATTAACATTCGTGAATATTTTATAAATTGACTTCGTAAATGAATCTATCTTTCGCTGTCTGACACTCGTTTTATTTAAATGTTATGTAACATTCAAAATATCGCTGAGTCAGTAACATTTACATTATCTGTGCAAACGAAATCCCAGATACTACAATGTACACGCGAAAAAGGAACAGTCGAGACGTATTACTTTGCAATGTGATTGCTGAATAATATCTGTATCGAACAGATTGAGGAAATGTCTAAATTGCTATCATCGAAATGACACAAAATGTGCATTATAGGTAGAGGTACTAATATACGTGGCTTCTTGAAACTTTCTTTTCACGTGGCAACCCGCGTTAAAATGGTCAAGGTTTACGACAAAAGAGAACTACCAAGAAAAACCCACAAATGCACTTAAAACTGATGCACGATAAGAATTTTGCGAAAGGACCAACACAAACAGCTTTGTTACCGTTCGACAGATTGCGAGAATCGTTATCTACGGTCTTCGGCAACATAACCACCCTCCTAACAGCTGTTCAAACACGGAGTATGTTTTCCTCGCAAAGGAATTCTGTCGGGTCGCATAAACGTTTCACCGTTTGTTTCCGACGTTCTACGAAAGACCGTTCGAAAATGGTTCAAAGTTTTGGAAGGATAAACCGTGGGTAAGCTTATGCTGGACAGAGAAAATCCTTCCAGAGGAGAAAGTGCTAACGATCTCAAAGTGTAGAAAGATGCCTTTCAACTCTGTAATAATTCTATTCGAATTCCGAGTCGAAACTCTTGAAGGTTTCCAACTGAGCTGTCAAAAATATTTCTATTATGTTCGTGCTTCAAAAGATTGGCTCACGAGATGATTCACCTGTGACATCACGAATGTCTTCACATACGAACACATATGGTCCACGATCAGTAATCAGGTTTCACTAAGATCAGTAAAAAGGTTCGAGATTTAGACAAATACTCCATCACTCCCCAATAAATATACCTACAGAAAGATCAGTCAAAAGAATTCTGTCTAAAAAACAACAACATTCCGAGAAGTGAAAGAGCGGAGCTACGTGGAAACACTTAAACTTTATCAGAGGCGGCGTTATCGGTCGATAATATTGGCGGCAGTAGAGGGAGGGGTCCGATAAGGCGAGTTATTATTTTCGATCAACCAATTTTGGGTTGCGCGCATCACGCGGCGATGTCTCGCGAAGGAAATCGAAACGTCCGCTTCCGGCCGGGGAAGTCACGTATCACCGCCACCATGATCATCGAGGTCGTCATGGAATGCACGTGGCTCCTGTGTTCTAGCCGGCTTCGAGACGCCTGTCGGTTGTCGATTGCATTTCTATGCGGACACGATCGCGACCACGCGGAAGCGTTCGCCAGCCTGCGTTTCTTGCGCAACGATCACGATCGAAAATGCTGGCTCGAGCTCGCTTCACGTGTTACCCACACTCTTTCGAAATAATCGCTTCCACTATAAACAACGTTTATCCTCTCGGCCTCCATAAGTCACCAATTTCATTCATCATTTTCTCTGTTCACTTTTCACATGTTCATGTTCACTTGGGTGCAACGTAGGTCTCTTTGGATGTAAACGCAATAAATTCACAATTTTTGATGTTCGATTTTTGTGGATGCTTTCAAATTTTCAATAAATTTTGAGATGTCCAAATTGGAGGACCATGTTGACCATATTTGGCAATATTTCTTAAGAGAACGAGACTTGTGTACGAGAATTTAGGATCCAAGAGAATTTGAAGTCTATCTGAGATTTTCTTATTGGAGGATTGAAGATGAATTAGAGGAGAGACCAAGAGAAAGACTACTTAATATTTCACTATTAATAAACATTGATCCTAATTTACCAAACTAAAGTATACCTAAATTCTTCACTTCTCAAAATCAGAAATATTTCAGATACAAAATCAAATTCCTATACTGCACTTACAAATTCATCAAACCTCCAAATCCCGAAAAATACCATTCTATGAAACCGTCTTAATAGATGACAAATTCTGTCGAAAACGTAATATGTATATAAATGTTGAACAATAAATATGAATATCCAACGATGAAATTAGAGTTCACTGAGTACCCTACATATTTGACAATATCTTAACGATATTATCGATATATTGTTAAACAGCGATAAGGAATCGATAATCCCAGCTGCACAACGAGCTTCCAATCAATTTTCTCCAGTAACTCTTATATGAAGCAAGGTCACACTACCACTATTTTCATATCCGAATGAAAAATTTTCCGATCCTCGTTGCCGAGTAAATTCAGTACAATCTCGATTACGCAAGCGAATGCGTCGAAGACAGCGAAAGAAAGATTCCGCGACAGTCACGCTGTAACTCACTGGAGCAAGCTGTTCGAATCGATCGTCGTTATCTCGCGACAGCACGAAAACGATCTATTTCCGCTCGCAGATCCGCTCGAGGTTTCGATGTCACTCGAACTGCGTTCGATCTCCGCGAGTCGCGACGAGAGACTGCCAAGCACGCTCTGCCCCCGCCGCTAGAAATACCCGAGCGTGTTTTATCAGCTCGTCGTCGAACGAGCGCGTTATCAGCGCACCGGTTCGTGCATCCAGCGACGTTCGCGAAGCCCGCGGAGATCAGCTGGCTGTATTCTGGAGAGACACAGGTGGAGGGGCGAATAATCGAGTGAGTAGTTAACGACCACTTCCGAGGAACCGATCGATGATTCATCGAGAAATCGTGGTGGAGGAACGAGAGCTGTTCCGGTTTACCTGGAGGATGCGAGTTCCGAGAATCTTGCCGAACGACTCGCGCCCTGAATATTCGATCGTTTTCGGAGGAAGGAAGTTTACGTGTGTGTCGCTGCTTCTTAACGCAATGTTGTCGGAGCTTAAATCTTGAGCCTTCTTAACAGGAATACGTGGCTCGGTTGTCTTTTCGTAGAAGTTGCATTTCAGCGACATGACGAGATTTGGTTTACAATAAGAATTTCGACTCATAGATAACGATGTTCTACAATCAAATGTTACAGAACGTGAAAATTAAGGTATTCGAAAATATCTCGGTATGTTCAATAAGTAACACATATGTCGCACGATCGAACAGGATGTTTTGACAAGCATTTTTCGAACCGATAGATCGGACGATTACGTAACGACCGTTTGTGTTGAAGATACCAATGTAAACATAGTACCGCAATATTATGGACATCTTCGCGATAACTGTTTGACAAATGATTTGTTTCGATGACGCATATACCCGTCCAGGACTGTGTGGACAACCAGTCGGTCATTCAGCGTCTAAATTCGCGCGTATTACTCGCCGGTTCATTCATTCAGCGGTGACGTAATCGCGGAACGTACTATGAACGTAGATTGTGCGAGTCACGGGCGTGCATAATGCAAGGGATCAAAGGGATGCTGCGGCGTTCTCTTTCAATTCGCATCCTTACCACGAAACCCGGCGGCGTTTGTAATTCGCTCGAGAAACGCTTCCCTTTTTTCTCGCTCCGGTTAAATGACTTTCGCGAAACCTCGTTTGTCTTTATTCGCTTTACGAGAACATATTTTGCATACGTTCGTACCGAGAAACGGAGAATTGAAGAACAAGATGAACGACCATTGTGCCTGTTAAAGAATTCTCTCGCATTCTTAGAATTGCGCGGTTCTATGCACGTTGGAATTTCAAATTGTTCTCTGCATTTCGCAAACAAACAAACCGTCATCGCATAGGTATATAGAAGTATAGGAATATAGAAATCTGAGTAGATATATGACAATTTAGGCGCAGAGTAATTTAAGGACATAAAACACGATGGATATCAAAGGATGTGTGTACAAATTGTCTAGTATCTAGACACATAGGAATTTATGATTATACTATACGTTTTTATATAACACGCATATCGCTTTTATAAGACAAATCGGTTTTAAAGAAATAGTTACAAATTCCCCAAATTCTAAATACCCTAAATCTCAAATTTCCCAAGTCAAAAATTCCCTAAATCTCAAATTCGCCAAACCCCAAATTCCCCAAATTGTCTAAACTCCTCTATCTTCAAAATTTCCCAAATTCTAAATACCCTAAATCTCAAATTTCCCAAGTCAAAAATTCCCTAAATCTCAAATTCGCCAAACCCCAAATTCCCCAAATTGTCTAAACTCCCCTATCTTCAAAATTCCCCAAATTCCAAGTCCAAAACTCCTCAAATCCCAAACTCCAAAATATCCAAACACCAACTTCATAAAATTCCCCAAATCCGCCAACTGTCACACTTTATAGCGTTAAAGAATAATCTGTCACCTACTTTCACATTCTTTTCCCAGCGAAAGGAAATGAGAATTCTCGGCCACCCAACAATCGCCCGTGACTAACTGCAGATAAAGTATTAGTAAATAGACAGGAAACACTTCAACGGTGTGATACACTTCCTCTCTAATTTATCTGTTTACTAGAAATAACGCGGAGGAGTAATTCAAAGAATTTTTCAGGCAATTCAAGAGAAATAAGTATTAGTCGGTATGTAGTCACAGTGACGTTGGCCGAAGGATATGGATTTTCCGGATCGATTAGGGCGAAGGGAGGTTAGGAGCTTATGGAGTCGTAAATAACGGACGAGAGCCAGCGAAGATTAAAAGGCTTAAGATTAGAATATGCTCGGGTTCGATTGGGTCGAATGTTTCGCATAGCGACCGGTACATCGAACCTCGCGAGTCGTTCCAAAGATCGCAGCTTTACTTTATTAGGATGCCGGACATAACTCCGAACGCTCTATAAGAAGATACGTTTCTCTTTTTCTTAACATATCGGCTATTCTATATTCTCCAGGAATCTTCACCTTCCAGGAGTATTGTCGAGTAGTGAGGTCTACCTGATCGTTTAATATGTCGAACTTGTCTTGTCTCGAACACCTCTGCTACATAACCTTTGTCGTACTCTTATTTAACCAACGTTACTTATACGTATATTTATTGAAAATGTAAATAGAGAAATTATTAAATCTTTGAATAAAAATCGTAATAAAAATGTTACAATGAACTGATCTTCTTAAAAGGTATACGATATTAAGATCTACTTCTTTAAGTAGATGTATGTCTTTATATACAAATAAATAATATGCTTCATTATCTAGGAAGCAAGTGCTTTTACATTTTTATAATTGCAATTCTATGAATGTATTTCTTCAGACATTTTACTTCTTCTCTACAATTTTTCTTCTATTTTAAACTCTTTCAAAGATAAAGTTTGTCTATGTTGTGGAAGGATGTTCATAAACTAATGGTAAATTTAAGAACGATGCATTATATTTGATTTTATGACATTACACTATACTTGAATATAGTCCATTGATAATGTTCAAAGAAGTATTAATCGATTTTTTCCTAACTTAGATATTCGACGAAGAAATTAGACCAAGAACACGGTGATTAATTCAAGGTACCGAATTTTTCTAGCATGAAGTGGAAAAATGGTGGTAGTCGAAATGATTGATTAGAGGCGGAGAGAGTCAAGGGTCTTTCGAAAGATTAAATTAACCAAATGCGCGAGCAAGCTCGAAAATGGATGCTACACATGTACCTAGCTGCACGTTGCCCTCTGTTTCTAAATCGAGATGCACTTCAATCGAGCAGCCCCTGCAACTATACATAAACTTAACGAACTCAACGCTACCGCGACCACGTCGTTATTTATTTCCAAACAACTTTTCGGGAATGAGTTTCGATGAAGCGCGAGATGTGACAGTGGTTCAGATTATATGTTGAGTGTAGTGGTATATTATAGAAAACTTATACATTTATTTTTTGTGAGGTGACTGGAATTTTTTTCTAGGGAATATTTCTAGGTTTTTTCATTTTCTTCAATTTCTCAAATTCCAAAATTCTCAAAATTCTCAAAATTCCAAATATCCAAATTTACAACTTCTCAAATCCTAAATACTTAAATGTCTAAATTCTCAAATCCAAAATCCTTAAATTTCCAAATTCTCAAACCCCTAAATCCCTAAATTTCCAAACCACAAAATCTCCAATTTCCCAAATTCCGAAATTCTTAGAATTCCAAATCTTCAAATTCCCAACTTCTCAAATCCCAAATCTCTAAATTTTCAAATTCTCAAATCCCTAAATCCCTAAATTTCCAAACCACAAAATCTCCATTTCTCGAATTCCGAAATTCTTAAAATTCCAAATCTTTAAATTCGCAACTTCTCAAATCCCAAATCCTTAAATTTCCAGATCACCAAATCTTCAATATCCCAAATTCCAAAATTCTCAAAATTCCAAACTTCCAAATTCCCAATTTCTCAAATCCCAAATCCCTAAATTTCCAAATCTCCGAATCTCCAATTTCTCAAATCCCAAATTCCTAAATTTCTAAATTCTCAAATCCCTAAATCCCTAAATTTCCAAACCACAAAATCTCCATTTCTCGAATTCCGAAATTCTTAAAATTCCAAATCTTTAAATTCGCAACTTCTCAAATCCCAAATCCTTAAATTTCCAGATCACCAAATCTTCAATATCCCAAATTCCAAAATTCTCAAAATTCCAAACTTCCAAATTCCCAATTTCTCAAATCCCAAATCCCTAAATTTCCAAATCTCCAAATCCCTAAATCCTTAAATTTCCAAACCACAAAATCTCCAATTTCTCAAATTCCGAAAGTCTCAAAATTCCAAATCTTCAAATTCCCAACTTCTCAAATCCCAAATCCCTAAATTTCCAAATCTCCAAATCCCTAAATCCTTAAATTTCCAAACCACAAAATCTCCAATTTCTCAAATTCCGAAATTTTCAAAATTCCAAATCTTCAAATTCCCAACTTCTCAAATCCCAAATCCCTAAATTTCCAAATCTCCAAATCTCCAATTTCTCAAATCCCAAATCCCTAAATTTCCAAATTCTGAAATCCCTAAATCCCTAAATTTCCAAACCACAAAATCTCCAATTTCCCAAATTCCGAAAGTCTCAAAATTCCAAATCTTCAAATTCCCAACTTCTCAAATCCCAAATCCCTAAATTTCCAAATTCTCAAATTCCCAAATCCCTAAACTTCCAACTTTGCAAATACCAAAATTACCAAAATTCTAAATTCTCCATATTCCAAATACAAAAATCTCCAAATTCCACAACCACCAAAATTTCCACAAGTGACTCAACGATAGTCCCGCACTAAACGCTTCGCCACATCCAGTCGACAAATCGAGACAGATGACGCTCTCCATATATGGCACGATCCAGTATTGGCGAAAGGAGAACCCGCTACCGTATTTCATCGAATTCTTTCTCACGATATCACGAGAGAGTAGCGAGTATGATTCACGGCATTTATCGGACCACTTAAGACGCACGGTTTTCTGCAGTGCACGATAACAGCCGCGAAACGTGCACGGAAACGACCAACAGACTTTTATCGTTCCGCTATTTATGGCGTCCTACGTGGAAACTGAACGTTCATCTTCTCCCAGACTTCCTCGATTAATTGTCAAATATCAAACAGTGACGTAATACCTCGGAATAG